GCCACTTCTCTCCCACACTTTGATCCACGCTCTGCAAGCAGGACAAGTGGCCAGCAAGAGCCAAAGGCCATTGTGCAGCCACTGTCCCCTGCAAATTGCCCTCTCCTGAAGGTTCCTTCTTTTCCCCTGGTAGTGTGGTCAGAATACAGGAACGGATGGAAACGGTGTAAGACCAAAGCTCCAACCTGGATGGTTCAGAATATCAGCTCTCCCAAAACAGCTCCTGAAGCAGATCCTGAAGCAGCAGCTGCACTGCTGAGGCCTCCCCAGGTCCTACAGGAACACTTGGACCATGACAGAGCTGGACAGAGGAGCACACTGACCTTCTGCAACTCATTAGGGGGTTTTGCTCATGGCAAAACAATATCCAGCCTTATTGGTTATAGGTTATGAAACCTTACGCCTTCAATGCTGTAGAAGAAATCTGACCTAGATATAAGACTGGGCAAAAAGGGACCAAAACCAGGTTGTTTTTTGTTTATTGAACGTGTAAATCACATCATGAAATTCAGTTTCAATGAGAGAGTATCATGTCCTGTAAATGGGAGAGATCCCAAGGGACCGTAACCCTGGCAAGGAGGGCAGCCTGACCACATGCCAGTTCGCCAGGGAGTCACTGCTGCTCTTCCTCCACAAACCAAGCCAGGAGCTCTCTTTCAGCCCTCAGGAAGCGCTCCCAGGCACTGGCACCATGAGCAGCTGATGGCAAGAGGAGCAGAGTGGCCTCCCCAGCACATCAGGCAGCTCCCTCAGCATTCCTGGCTGCAGCACCTCAGGCCCTGAGGGCACAGGTGCACCCAGTGACACAGCAAACCTTCCTGCAGGGCTTCCCCTTGCCCAGCAACACTCACTGCTCGCCTGACAAACCCCCTGCAAACTCTGCCCTGGGCTCCAGGGGGGCAGCTCTGCCTGGCAGCCTTTGGGGCCTCACCTTCACCAGGTCCCCACAAACCACAGCACACCAGGGACACGGGGGGACCTCACTGATGACACCACCAATTTCCTTGGCCTTTTTGTTTCTTCAGCCCTCCCTGACACACATCCAACCATCCAACCCTCCCAAATCCCAACTCATCAAAGCTGCCACCAAGGTCAGACAGACACGGCCTCAAGGGCAGGACATGGAATCCCAGAACTCCACAAACCCACAGCACGGGAGTGACATCAGGTGACCTCACAGAGGACACCTCACCTCTCCTGGGCAGTGTCTGCACCTGCCAAGTGCCCCCACAAGCACATTCCAGGTACAACCTCCCAAATACCAACTCTCCCTTCAAAGCTGCTGCCACAAGGACACGTCTGCAAGAGGAGCACACGGAAGGTGAGCACTGTGGAAAGGAAAACACACCCCACCTCACCCACCCAGAGGCTCACCTTGGCCTACAAGGAGCTCACCTTCCTCAAGCAGCACCTGCCTTTCAGAAACCCATCATGGCTGGGCCAGATCCCCTCCTTGTCCTACAAGTGCCATGTGATGGCACTCAAGGTGACCTGCTCCACAACCTTCCCCAGCACTCAGGTCAGACTGAAAGGCCTGTAGTTCCCCACATCCTCTTTCCAGCCTTCTTTGGATGCGTCACTGGGGAGCACAAGCCCTGGGAGCCCGGGGTGTAAACGAGCCCATCCCAGAGCAAAGCCAGTGAGAAAGGCCCGAACTAAGGACAGGCTGAGCCAGCTGGGAGAAAGGTGGGCAAGGAGCAGATGCAATGGAAGGGGCAGCTCCTCACCCTGAGCACACCTCCAAAGCCAAAGCAACCTGGCAGGATTGTGAGGGAATGGGGCCTCTCCTGACAACACACCCACAAACCACAGCACACGAGTAACAGGGGATGACCTCACTGCTGACACTCCAGTTTTTCAGTGCCTTGGTCATGTCTCCAAAATGCCACAACACTCAAATTCCATGGAAATGCTCCCAAATCCCAACTCCTCAGAGCTGCCGCCAGCTGACAGGGCTGGGCCAAGGCTGTGCCGCCCCTGCGGGAGCAGCATAAAAGCCGGCCCAGCGCCTCTCTCCCTGCCACGCTTCTCCTCAAGCCTTCTCCTGCCTTCTCTGCCCACAACCAGGTGAGCCTCCAGCCCCTCACAACCCCCTCCTGCTCCTGACACACCGCCCCCCTGGCCCCTCTCGGCCAGCACGCTCGGACCCAGCCTCAGCAGCCCTCACGCCTCCCCACAGCCCCACACCAGCCTCCCCACTGACCAGCCCTCCTGCAACACCGCCCCGAGCACCCCCACCGCCCCCACCTGCCGAGCACCCCTCTCTGCTCTCACCTTCTCTCACCTTCTCTTGCCTGCCCTCCCAGGGCCCCTCCACACCACACCCATGGCCTGCTACGACCTCTGCCGCCCCTGCGGACCCACCCCGCTGGCCAACAGCTGCAACGAGCCCTGTGTCAGGCAGTGCCAGGACTCCACCGTCCTCATCCAGCCCTCCCCCGTACGCGTCACCTTCCCAGGGCCCATCATGACCTCCTTCCCCCAGAGTACCTTCGTTGGATCCACCGCAGGGGCTGCCCTGGGCACGGAGCTCAACGTCCAGGGACAGCCCATCTCCGGCGGCTTTGGCTACGGCCTGGGCTATGGCCGTGGCTTTGGCTACGGCCTGGGAGGCCTGGGCTGCTCTGGCTTGGGAGGCCTGGGCTGCTCCGGCACCTGCTGAGGGTCCTTGCCATCACAGCTGACACCCCTGTACCTGCCCTTCTCACTCTTGCACCAATATCTCCTGCAAGCAAAGCACCTCGGCTGATGGTCGCCCTACTTGCACCTCACACCTCGCCCATCCCACTCCCTGCTCCTGTCTCTTCACTCCTTTGACTCAATAAAATTCTCCTGCATCAAAGTCTCTCAGGCCTCCTCTTTTTTCATTCCAGTGGTTTTACATCCTCATTCAGCACAAGGCCAGGGCTCTACAGCCAGTGAGAATCTGGAAAAATGCCACAACATCGTTCTTAGCAAATCTGTCACCAGCACTAACAAAGACGGGCAACGGAACAGGGGTGGAGGGGTCCTGCCACAACACGGCACAAACCCATCACCTGCTACACCAAAGGCTTCCACACAACAAGGCTCTCCTGCACACGCCTCTGCCAAAGTCTCTCTGTGCCAGCACACACGGCACAAACTCTCTTCCCCACCACGACTCTTCAACCTGCCCAGCACAGACACAACATCAGCCACTGGGCCAGGATGCAGTGCAAGTGCTTCAACCCTCCTGCTCAAACCAACCCCGCAAGAGCAGCTTGGCCAGGACCATGGCCAGTTCAGCGTTACAGCTCCAGGCACACAGACTCCACCTCCTCTGCCACTCTCTCACCTCCCTCACACACAACAAGGCTTGTCTTCTTATCCATGCAATTCCATCGGTTTCCCTTCTGTCCAGGGCCCCTTGTCCTGCCCGTGTGTTCTGCTGACAAGAGCTGGGCTCCCTCCACTTCAGTCCCTGCCAGCAGGGATTCACACACACTCAGGACACTCCCCTGGCCAGCCCTGTCTCCTCCTGCCAGTCCCAGCTCTCTCAGCCTCTCCTCTAGCAAACATCCTCCGGCCTCTTTAGAATCTTGATGCTCCTCAACTGCTCTGCATTCCCCAAGTCCATCAGCTTCTTCCACTGGAGAGCCCAGCACTGCCCACAGATCTCACATGGCACATCACCAGTGCTGAGGAGGCAGCAAGAGTCACCTCCCACTGCTTGATCACACCTTGCCCAATCCTCACCTGCAGACTCCTTTTCCCACACTGGTTCATGGCCACCTCTTGGGCCATTTGTTCTCCACCAGGAACACAAAATCTGGTCCCAGTAACAGATTAATTCTATGAAAACAGTTGATCCAGTTGATCTCCAGCCTTTCCTCCTCCCCGGGTTGACCCCTCCCCACAAACAGGGCTTTGCCCCTGCCCTCGCTCAACTCCAGGACATGGCCATGGCCATCACCACTCATCTTTGCAGTCTTGGCCCAATGGAGGCAGCTCCTGGGCTACAGCACTGCACACTTGTTCCCATCTGCACTTTGGCACACTCAGCCCAAGGCTCTGGGCCCAGCCCTGCACACACTTCTCACCCCACCACACTGGGCACTGACACAGCCCGGCCTTGTTTGCACTCTCTGGCATCACACAATGGTTGTGTCCAACAACCCTGGACACCTCCAAACCCTCTTGCTGCCTCTCAGACAGAAAAGATGCCCAGAGCAGGGACCTCGCTCCCTGCCACTCAGCCCAGGACAGGGCCCAAAAGGCCCCAGCTATCAAAACCTTCAAAGCAGGAGGGGCACCAAAACCCCCAGAGAGCACAATCAGCAGGAAAAGTCAGGTCCAGTGTCAGGCTTAGCCAGGTGGAAGCAAAGGGGAGAGGAATGGAAGGGGAGGGAAGGGGCAACACGTGTGAAACTCCAGAGCAGCCTGACAGGGCTGGGATGCTTTGGGGCCCCTCCTTACAACACACCCCCAAACCACAGCACACCAGGGACACGGAGGCACCTCACTCATCACACCCCACCTCTCCAAAGCTTTGCTCACATCTTCAGCCCTCCCTGACACGCACCATCAACTCCAGACTTTGCCCTCTAATACTCACAGTTCAAAGCTGCTGCCAAGGTCAGATGGACATGGTCTCAAGGGCAGGACATGGAGCTGAGGAATTCCACAAAGCAATGCCTTTCTTGGGACAAAGGAGGAGAGAGAAGCATGCCAACTTTCCTCTAGTAAATAGAGTTATTTGCTGACAGGTACAGGATGTTACTACGTAGTAGTTTTCTTACAACTTATAACTTAAGAAATCCCATGGCTTGAATGCGGAAGGAGGGAATTGATGGCACAGACCAGGTTGGGCAAAAGGGGATCGAGCCCTGTTGGGTGTTTGCCTATTGCATTTCTTCAGGAGGTCAAGAAATACACTTTAAATGACAGAGTACGTTGTCCTGTAAACTTGAGAAATCCAAAAGGACCATACCAACAGGAGAAGTTCAGCCTGAGCAGTCTCTGGTTTTCCAGTTCCTCTCTGTGGATCCCATTCAAGAGACAAGGCCATGAGCTCTCCTTCATTAACCAGGAAGTGCTCCCAGGCACTGTGACCAAGGTCATGCAGAGTGGCCTCCCCAGGACATCAAATGCCTCCCTCAGAATTCCTGGGTTCCAAACATTGACTGATGTACGTCCAGCACACAGAACAAGACGGGGCCCCGCCGGCACAAAGAACCCACAAAGCACAGCACACCAGGGCTACAGGCTGACCACACCAATGGCACCCACCTGCCAAAGCTTTGCTCACATCTCCAACCCAGTCTGACACGCACTTGGCAGGCAAATCCTCCCAAACACAACACTCACCTCAAAGCTGCCGCCAAGGTCACATGGACACGGCCTCAAGGGCAGGACACACAATCACAGAGGTGATTCCCCAAAGGAATGTCTGCACCAGGACACAAAAGGAGAGAGCAGCACACCAGCTCTCTGCCAGCAATTAGTGGCTTTTGCTGACAGCAACAAAAGGCTGAGACTGACAGGTTACAAGTTCTGGAACCTCATGGCTTCAATGTGGAAAAAGGGAATAGAAATCCCGGACCAGCCTGGGTAAAAAGGGATCGAGCCCTGTTGGGTCTTTGTTGATTGGATTTCTTAATCAGGCCCCAAAATACAGTTTAAATGAAAGAGAACATTGTTCTGTAAATTTGAGAAATCCAAATGGAGCACAACAATGGAACAAGTTCAGCCTGAACGGCCTCTGGTTTTCCAAATCCCCTCTCTTGATCCCATTCCAGAGACAAGGGCAGGAGTTCTCCTTCATCCATCAGGAAGGGCTCCCACAAAGAATGACCTTGGCAAGCTGATAGAGAGTGGCCTCCCCAGGACATCAAATGGCTCCCTCAGCATTCCTGGGTGCGACACAATGACTGATGGACATCCAGTCACACAGAAGAAAAGAATTCTCAACACGTCCACAAACCACAGGACACGAGGACCAAAAAGTCACCTTAATGATGACATCACACCTCTCCTGAGCTCAGGTTGTTTATTCAGTCCTCGATGACACTCATCCAACCATCCAACCCTCCCAAAAACCAACTCCTCAAAGCTGCCGCCAGCTGACAGGGCTGGGCCAAGGCTGTGCCGCCCCTGCGGGAGCAGCATAAAAGCCGGCCCAGCGCCTCTCTCCCTGCCACGCTTCTCCTCAAGCCTTCTCCTGCCTTCTCTGCCCACAACCAGGTGAGCCTCCAGCCCCTCACAACCCCCTCCTGCTCCTGACACACCGCCCCCCTGGCCCCTCTCGGCCAGCACGCTCGGACCCAGCCTCAGCAGCCCTCACGCCTCCCCACAGCCCCACACCCCTCCCCACTGCGCAGCCCTCATAACACCACCCCGAGCCACCCCCACGACGCCCACCACCTGCCGAGCACCCCTCTCTGCTCTCACCTTCTCTCCCCTTCTCTTGCCTGCCCTCCCAGGGCCCCTCCACACCACACCCATGGCCTGCTACGACCTCTGCCGCCCCTGCGGACCCACCCCGCTGGCCAACAGCTGCAACGAGCCCTGTGTCAGGCAGTGCCAGGACTCCACCGTCCTCATCCAGCCCTCTCCCGTCCGCGTCACCTTCCCAGGGCCCATCATGACCTCCTTCCCCCAGAGCTCCTTCGTTGGATCCACCGCAGGGGCTGCCCTGGGCACGGAGCTCAACGTCCAGGGACAGCCCATCTCCGGCGGCTTTGGGGCCGGAGGCTACGGCCTGGGCTATGGCCGTGGCTTTGGCTACGGCCTGGCAGGCCTGGGCTGCTACGCCAACAGGGGCTGCTACGGCACCTGCTGAGGCCCCAAACAACTGCCCCAACAACAACCACCCACGACCTGGAAGTCACCACATGGAACATGGATTCATCTCCACGCCAAGGCTGTCCAATGGGCTCAGCACTTCCAGCTCCTGCTCTCAGGGCTCCAACCAAGGAAGCAGCCAAGGGGCCAGCCCGCCCTGCCTGCAAACATGGTCCAGCTCCCTCCTCCTCTTCTCCCCCTTCCTTCTCTCCAGTGCCCCTTCGGCTCTGGCCAGTCCCCTCTGCTGAAAACACCTTCTCACAAGCCACACACCATCAGGCACCTCCGCTGGGCTGCTCCCAACAAGGGGAGCAGCAAGATCTCAGGGCTCTGCACAAATCTTCTGCAAGGGAGGGACCTCATCTGATGGATGCCCTGCTTGCACCTCAGACTGGATCCCTTCCTCTGGCTGCTCCTTTCTTTTTACTCTTTAGTCTTAATAAAGTTCTCCTGCATCACAGCTTCTCATGACTCCTGGTTATTTGTTCTTCCACTGGTCTCACAGCATCACTTGATACAAAGCCAGGGATCAACAGGCCCTGGGCAAGGTGGAACAGGGCCACAGGACCAATTTAAACAAATGTGCCACCAGCACTAACACACAGACTGGAACAGGGTGGGGGCCCTTCCAGAACGTGGCTCAATCCCATCACCTGCTACACCAAAGGCTTCCACACAACACTGCTCTTACCTGCACACCACACCAAAGGCACTGTGGTCCAGCACACACTGCACAAACTCTCTTTCCCAGCAGGACTCTTCTGCCCTCCCAGCAAACCTCCTGGTGGGCAGGAACTCTGCAGAGCAAGTGCTTAAACCCCATGCTCAAGCAGGGTCACACAGAGCAGGACTCACAGGACTTTAGTCAGTGCAGTTTTAGATCTCCCCGGACAGAGACCCCACC